AGCAAGTTTAAAAATGCGAGGTGGCCACAATTACTTTACAGCGTGTCTCACAATCATGCCGTGCTTTTGAAATATATAGGACAGCGTATTTGCATTTAAGGCTGCGTTATTCATGGGTGATTTTTTCAAAAATATGTGATTGCTTTGCTTCCACTAGTGGTGTTCCTATCCAATGCATTTGTGTCAAGCTCCGTGCGCGGGCTTAGTATCGAGTGTCACAAAATATCTTGAATGTGCTTGCCCGAGAATACTACTGCAGCTGTTGCATTATATTCTCCTATGTATAGTGGCACATTCATCACATTATTAGGACATGTATTTTTCTCAATAATTTCAGTGCTCGATTTCACTACAAACAACAATTTGACGTTAATTGCAGGAACTTATACTGCTGTCAGATATTATTTTCGTGCAGCCTCGTACAGCAATTGTGCTATCATGCTCGTAAGTACCAGTTTAGGCAGCCACCTGATAAATAAATTTTTCCTACTGAGCAGCATCAACCTGTATGTGAGCATAACGTGTGAGACTAATCAATGCTTCATTGAGGCAAATGAGATTTGATTATCACCTGGCCTACGAAGCTGATTGATCCTTCGAAACAGTTTACAGTAGACTCTCAATGAATCAAACTCTGATAATTCATACTTTCGATTAATTCAAACAAAATTATATTTTTTAGTTGGCCCTCTATCCTTTCAATGTATTTAAAAGCCTCCCAATTCAAACTCCAACGTTCGGTTATTTCATACTTTTTTCAGTTTCATACCAGAAAGTATCTGCTGCTTTCCCACTACTATTTAAATATTAGCATGATTACATATTCCGAACGGTCTAAAAATGAAAAATAAGCACCTCAAGCCTTCTAGGAAAAAAGCTTTGTTTGCTAGTAAACAAATGTTTAAGACAAAGCACACGCATGGTAAACTGTGATGCTTCTCAAATGGTATAGAGAGGTTTGTGCTGAAGCCACATACGTCTAGCAAAGAAGCAGTAGGCAATTCAAGATTTCTTTAAAAGGTCTGATCAGTAGTAAATGGACAATAAACTTGTGGACCTTACTCCTCTGCTTTCAATTCATTGCATGCAATTACGGTTTGAAAACACATGAAAATATTTAAATGTGATAAAATCAATGCCTAATCATAATGTATGGTGTAACCTCACCCAGAGTCATTCATCTAAGATCTTCTGGTAATTCGAAGTTTTTGATAATTGAAACAAAGTTCATAGGTTCCTTTGAATTTGAATTGACGAGAGTCGATTGTATTTCGACTTCCTGACGTTTTTTTTTTTTTTTTGCAAACGACTGCTATCACTAGTAGTCCCACATAAACTGAACATTACAATTTATGACATGGCGGTAGATTAAGTCAGCTGTTTGCACGAATCAGGATGTGCAACTACACAATCCCAGATGACTGTTGAAAAGTCTGTACATGAGGTCTGAGTATACCGAGGTCTCAAAATTCCGGAAACCATTGGGTGGGTTGCAACATTACTTTATTTTCTAAATAATATGAGGGATTGCGTATGACAAACTGATTCATCTAAAGTATCCTGCATCAGAAAGTGAAATTCTGTTAAATGACTTACATTATTTACTGAGGCAGACGTAACTTGCACGGTAAATCATAATACTGTTAGTAAATGCAAAATGTCCTACTCTCATTTGTAATACTTTGACATGCATGTTTAATCGCGTAGTCTATGCGAAGTTCTAATGAGTTTGACCCATTTAGCACAAATATTTTTCAAGCACTGCTTTCGTGAAAACAGTAAGAAAAATTAATGTCTCGCTGTCCTGCACCCTCATTTTTAATGTGGATCATCTGTTTGGACGATATTTCCCCATCCTGAGATATATTAACGATACTTTCGACACCTTAGTTAACGTTTGATTGCAATAAATATCTTCAAGAGAGATCACCGTATGATGGAAGAGCGGGTACGCGGCGGGCTTGCAAAAACGCGACTGCTGGCATGCATCGGAGGCGAAGGGGGCCAGTCCACACCGTGTTGTCACTTCACCCCGACTGCAGTGACACCAGTGTTCGTTCTCGGAGCTAATAGCAAAGAGCTTTGTTGTAGCCACTTAATTGTAGCTGCTTGATTGTAGCTTGTAGTTTATCGCTCATGATGGCTACAGCGAGGTGGCCTTTGGGGTTTTCCTTTAGTCATCGAAACGTCTTTCTGGCTGTTATCCCCTGCAGTGCTCACGTTGCGTTTCTGTATGCTGTAGAGCCATGTTGTCGTAGTGTGAAAAGAATTCAAGGCAATCGCATAACTTTGTAGTCTTGCATCATTTTCAGCACATTCTTCGTCTCGTGCCCTTGGCATGAAATTAGAATAAATCACAATAAGTTAAAGCGTTCTGTTTGCAGATGAGAACATTGTATACATTTGCACAAGAAAATGCAATTTGCATTGTTAATAAAAGTCGGGTTTTACTTCAAAGCTCAATGTAACATCGCCTATGCACAGTAGTGGTTTAAAGCTACGGTTCAGGGTTTTGAAAACAAGTGAAATATGTTGTGCTAGTCATACCATTTCATTCAAAAACTTAGTTGTGCAAGAACCCAGTTGTGCGATTCAAGATTTTGAATTTGTGTAATATATTCGTTTTTTAGAATAGTGAGGAATAAAAACACTTATTGAAATCCCACGAGAGAAGAAACAGTGGATACGAGAGCTGTTCTGAACTATTTTTCTGCAGGACAGCTGCGGTTGTTGCACTGGGGCAGCCTTTCATTAGCAACTATATGGGGCACATAACTTCTGCACAATAATCTCCGGTAAATCAATAATGGCTTGCTTTTAAGTACATAACCTACATAAAAATTTGTCTCGTGCTCTAGTACCATGCTTCCTATTCAGCAGACAGCACACTATGTACTGTCATGGATGAATGAAACATAAACAGGAATGGCAAGTTGAAACAGCACAATCTAGCATCAGAAATTGTACAGTAATATCACTAATTATGCAGTAATTATCAGTAACATTAATGGCTTTGGTCATTACCGAAGCCATTAATGCCTCGGAGATCTGGGATGGGACCAATTCTACTTCTAATTTACTATAATGATATAGCTAAATTTATGACTCTAACAGTAAGGTTGTTTGCGGACGACTGCGTGATATATTGAAGGTTGTCTATCAGTAAAGATAATAATAACCTCCAGAGAGATTTAATATGTTAGGTATGTGTTGCCAGGACTAGCAGATGGAAGTCAACATGAAAGGAACAAAGGTTCTTTCATTTACTAAAAAAATGAATGCAATAACTCATACCTAGACATTCAATGAGCACCAACTAGCAAATGTATCCAATTTAAAGTATTTGGGAATTCATTTATCGATTGACTTATCATGGAACCTACACATTACACCATCACTAGCAGTGTGTATAAGACACTCGGATTCACAAGACGAAACTTACATTTCGCTAATTCTGCTACAAAACTTTATCCTATAGTCCGCTCTAAACTTGATTACGCTTCCCCAATATGAAGCCTTCACCAGGCTTACGTAATGAATAAAATAGAGTCCTTTCAAAACAAAAGTGGCCGATAGATACCAAAAATTACTCTCTAACTTCTGGCATAAATGAAAGAAAAATTTTGCTGAAGTTGCCGTCTTTGCAGTCCCGTAGACTGTTCTCACTTCTATCTCTCTTCAAGAATCTCTCTCATAATGATTTGCCAATGTCTGCACTTATAAATCTGCCCATCGTATATTATCTTGCCTTGATCATCAATTCCAACTCCACATTTGTTTGCCCGTACAAACCTGTTCCTACATTTTCCACTGGTTTTTGCTACTAATCAAGAGAATAAACTGCCTAAGGATATTGTTTGTACAAAAAGCCATGACAAATTCACCCACAAATTCAAACTTCATCATCATGCTTGAGCAGCCCTGTATAACTGCCTCAATTGTACTACATGTGTGCATCAGGATACTTCTAGCTCACTGTATATCTCTGTCATTTTAACACTTGTGGAAAAAACTGTTCAGCCTCGTTATTTTTCATGATCAGTGCAGTTTGTCCTTATAATTTCTTTCCATGTACTTTTTCTAATCACATCTCAATGTTCTTTATTTTTGCACGATGATATTCACTTTTTCAAACCTTTTATTAATTTAGTGCTTGTGCTGACTCTATGTATGTATATTATTAACCCCCCCCCCCCTATTTAATGGCGTCGGGCCTTTAGGGTATACGGATAAATAATTCAATAAATAGATGCGGCTGAAGAACGCCTGACTGTGGTTCATAAAATTGGTCGACTTGCTCCGAGCAGTGGCGTCGGCTGACGTAGGTGCAAGCAATGTATACAATATTCTAGGCACTATCTTGCAAAAGCACAAACACCCGCGCTAAAGAGAACACAGCAGCACGCCCAATATTTTCAGTGTACGTATGACAACACAAAGACACAGCGTAACCGCAGTCATGCACCGTGCACAAACTCGATCCGGCGCACGTGGCACTTGCCGAAGCGTGTTGCGACAGCTGCGTCACTGTCAGCCACCGCTTGCGGCGGCGCCAAGCAACTGGCTCAACATCGCGAAGTTTTCAGAGTCTGTATATTAACTCTATGGTTTTCAAACTGTACGGGCTCGGGAAATTTAAACCACCTGGGGCTGCTGATCTTTCTAAAAACTACCTTTGTCTCACGCCAGCATGGCTCTGCTGAAGTGAGGCAGAAGTTCCCACTTAATAATTACTTCTGCAGCGGCCGTGCTTCAGCGTTTCTGATGATGTTGAACATAGTTTGGCTAAATCTAGCATACACACAAGTGCACCGCGAACACGTCAACACAACACTGTTACAAATGCAGCGATGCCGGCGGAGCCAGCCCGCTGCAACCCCACGTAACCTTTATTTCTGTTAATGTTCTTAGGTGCTCCACTGGGGTGTTGAGTGATACTGCGGGTCCAGCTGCCGCCGCAGCAACGGTAGAGCAGGAGTTCGAGCTGCGAAGGCAAAGTCTCATTGCCCTTCTTTCTCGGTGGAGTGTGCCGCCTGCTCTATATTTCTCGATCCGGCCAGATAGGGGTGTGCTGTGGCATCTGGCCGAGATCCTCTTGCCAGGGCTGTAGATAAGCATCTTTAGAAGCAGATCTACAGCCTCGCAGTCGATCCCAGAAAGGAGCGTTGCCACGACGTTTTCTCTCCACATGGGAAACGTCGACTTGTAGTTTTTCAGTTGCATAACTTTGGGCCAGCTCTGTATTGTCGGTGTACCAAGGACGCGGAAAATTCGGAAAAGCTGGTCGATCTCCGAATCCCCGCGGAAGAGCGTTTTGCCGGTCAGCAGCTCGAAGAAGATACACCCGATACTCCACACGTCCACCGGTGTCGAGTAACTACTGGCACCCAAAAGCATCTCCGGCGCACGGTACCAGAGGGTGCCCACCTTGCTGGTGAAACTGCGCACTGGTGGCGTAAAGGCCCGGGAAAAGCCGAAGTCGGCCACCTTCAGGTCGCCGTTTCCGTCGACAAGCACGTTGGCTGGCTTGAAGTCGCGGCGCAGAAATCTTCTTTTATGACAAAATAGAATGGCTGCAACAATCTGACCGAGGTACTTCTTAACAACGGCATCATCCAAGGGCCTTTTCTTGGCATGAGAATCCAAAAGCGCCCTCAGGTCCATGGTCATGTACTCGAAGACCAAGTGCACAGCCTTCGACGGTGGCATGAGGACTTCTATGAGACGTACTATGTTCTCATGCTTCAACTCCCGGAGGAGGGCCACCTCTCGTATAGTTGTGGCCGGAATCCCTTCGTCTCCGTCTTCGACGCGAATCTTCTTTATAGCGACGACCTCGTTGGTGGCCTTGCACTGCGCCTTGTAGACGGCACCGTACGCTCCTTCGCAAAGCTTCTCTAGGATGACGTAGTTCTTCATAATTCCGGGGACCCTATGCGATAGGAGGCCAGGTGATGATACTTGCGAATCTGTAGGTACCGGATGTAGCGTGCCACGAAGATCGTTTGGAAAATGGCTGTACGGTTGGCAGCTCGCGAAAGCTGACCGCGCGCTTTGCCTGCTCGCGAAGGGCCACGTTTGCTTGCTTGCTTGCTTTTTCTGATGTTTGGCTCATACCCACTACGGGGGACTGGGCATTAAACTGACGACACGTTTCTTCATTGGATTTATACCTTAAATTGAAATATTGCATGCCAACATTTTGGCTCAAGCAGGATGGCCTTCAGGTACAATGCAAAAAGTATACCCAATTAACGCAATGGTGAACACAAGAAACAAAACAAACAATAAAGTTAGTACGAAAATCATTGAAAGATAGGGCCATAAAGCATGTAATAGAAACAAGCAGTAAGAGTAACCGAAAGAGTGCTAGACCTTTAAAACTTGGTATATAGGATATTGCTAAAAACGTCATTGGAGCTGAATATACTATTTCGCACCGAATTCCAATCCGCGACCATATGAGGGAAGTGCAGTAGGGTTGACAGGCGGGCTAGTTGGTATAAATTCATAATGGAATAATTGGAAGCGTAAACTAACGAGACACAAGAGAAGAGACAAACAAGCGCATGCATATGAGGTAAGAAACTGTAACAAAGTGATTTTGTGCGAGTGAAGATTGGTGCTAACGAATGTTTCTGATAGTGCCGTATTGTTCTTGTACTGAGACGCTTAACAGATGCTAATATAGATAAAGTGATTTTACCTTTTAGCCAGTTTTGAAGGAATGAAAGGCGGTAAACTTTTCTCTGGTCTTCCTGCGTTGGTATTGTGGGCATTTAGTATACGCATCCTCTTCACCGGTACATTATCATCATTATCATGTGTGGCTCATGCATCCCCATCGTTGTCGCGTAGCATCATCATCTTGGTCCGATCATCTCAGCTGTCGGCTGCCGGTTCTTCGGGCCTAATAAAGGTCTTCCAAACCAAGACTCCATACGTGGTGGAGCGTGCTGTTGGATCCCCCGCCATCCTCTCGACCACTCTATCGGGGATGTCCATGAAGTGGTTGAGGAACCACGTCTTCGCGACACCCGTGAGGTAGAATGACACGTAAGCGAGTTTGTAGGTGTTATCCCACCGGTTAGCAGCGCCGACCCGTTCGAAATCGTCCAGCCATTCCTCCACAGTATATTGAGCTTCGTCAACTGTGTAGGGGAATCTAGACGTTTGTACTTTACAAATATAAGTCTCACTGCTTTATGCTCATCATTTTCTAGTTGGGAAATACTTTTTGATAATAAGTTCCACACATTTGATGCGTACTCCTGTTTAGATCTTACGCAAGCCTTGTACGCTAGAAGTTTTATGCTACCGGGCGCTTACGTGATGTCAATAGATGTCGAAGGTATATCACTGGTACAAACATGAACATGACTTGCATATTACAAAGAGCTTGTTAACATACTACGCTCATGATTTGCTCGCGGCCGTTTCGCTAGCTTCACATGTACCAAATTTGTTATTGCGTGTCGTGAATGGACGTCGAAGGTAATTGACACGTCCAAATATGATAATCATGTTATGCGTGTCATGTAAAACAGAACTACATGCTACGCTCATAACGCGTTCGTGGCCGTCTCGCTAGCTCGCCATATACCGAATTTGTTATAACGTTACGTGAATGGAAAACAAAATTAATGACACGTCCAACCATGATAATCATGGTATGCGTGCCATGTAAAACATGACTACGTGCTACGCTCGATCATGGCACGCTTGCAGCCGTTTCCCTAGCTTCACGTAAAACGATTTGGTATCACGTGACGTGAATTGACGGCCAACGTAAATGTCACGTCCGAACATGATAATCATGACGTGTAAGTCATGTACGGCATGATTATCTTCCACCTCTTAACGTTGTGCTGATTTTAAAGTGGCGTATGAACCTTCATCTTCCGTGTTTCGCATATCATCGATGCGCACTGTACGTGGCATCTGCAAACTTATCATTATTATTATTATTTTATATTATATTATTAACATCATATTATTATTATTATTATTATTATTATTATTATTATATTATTATTATTATTATTATTATTATTATTATTATTATTATTATTCAAGTAAGGTCCACACAGCAACTTTTTGCTGGTCATTTGTTTCTTGAAGGTCAAAGGGGTAATGCCACCAAACTTCGAGGTTGAAATGGGCCTCTTGTGCGTTTCCTCTGTATTCCAGGACACACCACACGGATCGCCGACCGCAGGTCGCGGGATCGAATTCCGCCTGAGGCGGCTGCATTCGCGCTGGAGGCCAAAGTGATGTAGGCCCGTGAGCTCAGATATGGTTGAACGTTACAGAACCACAGGTGGTCGAAATTTTCGAAGCTTTCCCCTACAACGTCTCGCATAATTAAGTGGTGGTTTCGGTACGTTAAATCCCACATATCAATAAATCAATCAATGAATTTTCGGACACAGCAAACGTTTGGAATTTATTTTCATTGCCTTCAAAGTGTACCCAAGTGCTCAATCTCCCGACCGAAGCCCATCGCAAGCGCGTCCAGAACTGTCGTAGCCATTGCATTTCTCGCAACTTTATAGTCGTAGCCACGGAGGTTAAAAAAATCTGGAGTGGAAGCTCCGGCAATGCCTTGGCAGCAGAAGTGAAGACAGCTTTTGCCCTTCCAAGATGTCGGAAACTTGGTCTTTCCTTGTAGTCCCCACTTAGAGGTGAAGTGGTTTTGATATATGTTTAAATGCTACGTGAATTCTTAAAATATAGTTGTTCCCGACGATACAACGCGCTGAAACAAGTATGCTTGACTGAATCTCCAATGAACTTTACCTGCAATTAGAGGCTTACTATGGAAAGTTAGAAACACTAAGACGGACTTTGAGCGCTATGTGACCCTAAAATGTGTCCACATGAAACTCGTTAGGGGGTGCGAAGGAAACACAGATTTTTCAGTTTGCATTCGCTGAACGGTGGTAATTTATCATTCTCCTGGTAAGACGGCTGCTGCATCCACCATCTTGCCATCAACAGGGCTTCGCACATGGGCAATGGTTTCTACTCCAGCAATTTTCGAAAAACCTTTGTCATAGCTAAGGCGGTTCCAAGGTTCCAAAAAATAGTCATATATATATATATATATATATATATATATATATATATATATATATATATATATATATATATATATATATATATATATATATATATATATATATATATATATATATATATATATATATATACATGACAAGCAAGAAAGAAAAATATATAATTCAAAAAGGGCTCCCGCGTGCGGAATCGAAGATGAGACCTCTGCATCGTGATTGCGAGGCATTTACGACTGAGCAGCAAATGTGCACTTCCTCCGACATTTATTTTAGGCTATTTATATCTAACACTTGCTGCTGGTGACGGGCATCTCGGGAGGAACTATCGTGTTTTCAGCATTACCAGCAAGATGGCGCAATGAGAGCGCGTCACCACGTCGTCACGACGCGGCGGCACGCGCTCTAATCTTCCACGCGTACTTTGCCCCGCGGTAAGGGAGCAGGGGGAATGCTAACGCGCTCGGTTATTTCGAGGTGGGGACAATCCAGCGCCTTGGGTGGCTTTGGCTTTCACAGCAACAATTCTGTTGTAGTTACTGGGCGCACAAAGTTTACTGCAATCGTTGCACGGCCTCCGTTTGCGAAAAGAGCACGTTTTTCAGAGACAGCGAAGTAACAACTGAGTAGCTTATTCGCGTTCATCTGTAGCTGTGAGTGCGTTTCTTGCGTTGTTACGAAGGCGCAACGCCAACACGGTCCCTAAGGCGCACATCTCTGAGCTCCGCCACCAAGGTCATTAGCCGTTTGGCAGCGTGTGTTACTCAGCTCGCGACTGCTTTTGCGCAGAGCTGATAGACGAGCGGACGAGACGATGGTGAGTAAGGGCAAGGTTTATGTACAGCATATAAACAGATGTGTTACATATTCGGCACTGGGGCCGGCAGCTTAGGGACTCGAAAAGCCGAGATGTCTTCTCTGACGCATACGTCGGCTTGTCTCTGACACTTAGGTCACCTGCTGGCGACGTGCCGCTTGACTTTTTGCTTTTTTATAGGAACCGGAAGGACCTTTCTCGTCACCAACGTCTAACCACATGCGCCTCTGGCCGTGATGTCAGAATCCTACAATCAGGACCCGCCACTGGGCTGCGTCATGGCCATCAAAACCGAAGCCGCTGCGCGTGGTTGCAACCTAGTACCAGTGAGGTTGCCACGCATTGCGAAAGACTCGCCAGACTGGAAGGCGCCGATTGCTTCATTGGGCTCGTGGGCTTACGGGGCTCGCTGTGCATAACGTAATGCAAACCGGCGCGGCCGGTTGATGATGACATCTAGTTAGTCGCGTAAGGTGGGCTCGATCGCAAGCCTTGACACAGATTGCCTTTGCAGAAGCATTGACGTTCGTTGTGGACAAGCGTAACAGCACCCCCACCACCAGACAATGCGCCAAAAAGGCAAGCTACTTCCACGTGGCTCGGATGTCGGGCGCGCTCGTTTGCCAGGTCCCTCAAGGTTCGCCTCCAGGGCCATCGGGAGAATGTTGCTGCAGGCTCAGTTCAGTGAACTCATCCCATTCTTGGGGACGGATTCCAGCTACACTGGCTTGTCGCCACAACTTGTCGGCCAGATTCGCTCGTGTATTTTGATGATTTTGGTCTCAGCACTTGTCGATGGTTCTGCAACTTGCCAAGAACAATTCGACAACCTACAACACACGATACAAGCAAGTGCCCTTGGTTAACCGACAGAACACCAGACAAAGTATAATAAGACATATACCTAGCTACGTGTCTATCGGAATTTCATTCCCTCTACATCAAGAGGCACATGTGGGACACGAGACTCTTAAAATGAGATTTCAAAGGTTCACACGTACAACAAATAACGCAATGAAATAGAATTC